TCTTCAGTTTTTAGTACAGTAGCCAAATGTGCTGTGATTTTGTGAATGGTGAAGTTGTTAATTTAATTGATGCTTTTCATGAGCATTTTGATTTGTTAAGTATTTACCATAATTGGTTTCACTTTTTAGAAGTACCTTTTCTTCTCTGGCTTTTTCATTAATAGTGCAGCCCTTTTATGACAGGAAGAATAAGTGAAATTAGTGCAATACCCTTTTTGATTTGAAGCATAGGCACACGGCAGTCTAGAATCCTGGGCTGTAATGGACAATGCCTTCTTTTTAAAAACAAATTCTTGTTGTGGGTTGCTTGTAGATCCATGCTTAGTCAAAGGGCAGTATGAAAAAGCAGGGGAAAGTTGTGCTCAACCTGTAGAAGACACTGGTTAGACCTCAGCTGGTAATGTGAATGCACTGGAATGTACGTAGAAACATTTTGCAAGGATGGTTCCATGGTTGAAACACTTCAAAGATTGGAGAAGGTATCCAATCACCTCTCCAAGGAAAACAAGTTTTCAAAATAATGAGGAGCCTGGACAGAGTAAATGGGAGAAACTGTTCTGTTCCTGTTTGTAAAAGGATCAAGAACCAGAGGTCACATTTTTAAATGCATTTTGCAAAAGCAGCAATGCCAGATGAGAAAAATATTTTCCACAATGATTAGTTAGGGATTGGAATGCAATGCCAGGAAGTATGGTGAAGACAAGTTCAACTGATTTACTCAAGGGCATTAGATGATTATTTAAATAGAAACAAAGTACAGGGCTATGGGGATGAGGCAGGAGATTGGTACTAAATTAAAATGCTCAGTCCGATAGCTGGTGGTGTTGAATGCCTTTTTCTGCAACAATTTGCTGATTCTCTGCACTGAGAAATATTGGGCGGCCGTTCTTCAGAGGTCAAAATTGGTTAGCAATAACTTTCATTTGATTCCAATTCCAATATTCCAGGGATAAAGCAGGGGTGTGGGTCTGAATGGGATACTCTTTTGCAAGTTGGTGTGCACTTGATGGGTTGAATGGCCTACTTCCACACTGTAGGGATTCTGTGTCAAAACCATATAATTTCTTTGAAAGTTCAGTTAGAGGGGGACAAATTAAAGTTATCATTGCAAATTATCAACTCTTGCACATTCAAGGCTCCACATCGTAAATGTACGGATAGCCTGTTTGGAATGCATTTATTACACTTGGCTGGCCACACAGCAGAGATATTAAGACGAAATAGTGAGACCACTGATTGGGAGCCCCTAGAAATTACTTCAGTTCATATAGGCTTTGCTTTTCCAATTCCACAAACTTTCTTCAAATAAAATCTGTATTCTAATCTGCTAGTTAGGGCATACAATTATAAACATCTCATTGATACATGGGCCTCCACGGCTGACTTTTGCAGCTTAGTCTAACTAGTTAGGATTGTGTTGTTTCACTTGGCTGGCATAACAATTGTTAGTGCTCAGGGCAATCAGTGGTTCGAAACTACAAACTGAATTTCAAGTGGACCTTGAAATGTCACCAACAATTCAAGACCTTGAAAAATCTGCTGCGCTTGCCAAAAGAACTCTCTTCCCAATTTCTCAGCCATAGAAACTGAGCTCCCATCCGCACCAAGTTACTACTACACACAAAAAACCCGACTGTCAGTCTACTTATTCTGAGCTTGCTCAAATGTTCCTAACGTCAATTACACACAAACAATTATGCTTCCATATGCAGGATGCCACTACCGTGCTCTCTTTTTTTCAAAAAGAAAAAAAACTTAAACAGAAAAGAAACTGGAAATCCTCAGCAGATCCAACTGCATCTACAGAGAGACCTTTCAGTTTGTGACCTCAACAGGAGAATTGGGAGAAGTTAAGAAATATTACAGCTAGCATAGAAGTAAATGAGGGAGCAGGGGAAGAGAACGAGCACAAGAGCGACAGAAAGCTGAAGGGAAGGTCTGTGATAGGGTAGTAGACAGAAGATAAATGTTAGAATACATGAAAAGTGCTATCCTACAGTAGAAATGAGAGAGAGAGAGAAGGTTAACCCTGAAAAGAAAGAGGAAGCAAAACGAGCAGAAACAGGAAATTATAGTGTGAAACTGACAAACTCAATGCTGAGTCCGGCAGTCTGCAAGGTGTCTAAATGGAAAGAGGTGATGCCATTATCAATCCTAAACGGAGTTTCACTGGAACACTGCAGCAGGCAGAAAACAGATGGCAGTGTAACAGCAGGTGGAGAATCAAAATGGCAGACCACTGCAAACCTAGGGTCACGTTTGTGGAGCAAGTGAAAGAGTTCTGCAAAACAGCATACAGGAGACCACACTGAAAGTTTTCATATGCACTAGATTAAAATACACGCTGTAAATGTAAGCCACTGTTTCACCTGGAAAGATGTTTGGGGCCTTGGGCAGAAGAGATAGAGGGTAGGTGCTGCATCTTCTAGGCTTGCATGGAAAGGTGCAGTACAGAGGGCGTAGTGATGCCCTGCTGGAAGTGGCTGAAGTAGAAGGTGATCCTTTTCATATGAAAGTTGATGGGCCGGAAATTTAACACAAGGGGAACCTCATCACTATCTTGAGAGTGAGAATGGACAAGGAGCGCAGACCAGTCCCATCAACTGTCAATATTTGTTAATTGTCAATGACTGTTACTACCTCCCATCCTATCATAGAACCTCTACCGATTTTTTTTTAAAAGCTGCTCACCACCCCCCACTGCACCTCAGCATCCAATTTACACAAAACGGGGTCTGATAAACAACAATGATACATGTAACCAGGAAAACCATTTTAGTGAGGTCATGCAAGGAGCAAATATTCGTCACAGCACCAGAAAGTCTGCAGTACTCCTCTTTAAACAGCATCTCAAGCTCATCTGACAGCGGGAGCAGTACATTGATGTAATACCTCATCAACGACTGCTGTAAACAAGAGTCAAATATGACTCGGAGCATTAACTGCTTCTCTCCATAGAAGCTCTCAGTCCTATGTTTCTCCAGCATTCTATCTCAATGCCATATTCCCATGCTCTTCCCAAATGCCTTGGCATTTTTAATCTCTAGAAATCCATTTTTTCCTTAAAAGATATTCACAACCTCCATAGTCACAACTTTGTGGTAAAGAATCCCACTGGTTCACCACCCCCTGGAGTGAAGAAATCACTCAAGGTCATAAATTGTATTTGCTGTCCTCTCGAATGTGGTCTTTAGGTAATTGCAGCCTCACATTAAACTAGCCAGGCAGTTGCACAAAATTGCTTAAAACACTGTTCAGGAAGACCTACCATTGTCAGGGATAATAAGAATACAATATAAATATCAATGTAAAACCTACATTGTGTATCAATTTGAAAAGAAAAACAATCGAGACTCACATGGCAATTTAAATCCAGCTTTTAGAAGCAATGATAATATCTGTAGCATCAGCTGGACATCTCTGCCTTGGAGACTGAAAACCACAAGTAGGCAAAACAAATTTCTTTCAAGCCTCAAATTATTATTGCAGAAGAGACAGGGAAAATACATAG